GTGGTGAATAGAGAGAAAAGTGGTCAACGACAACGCATGCCGTGTTGAATTGGCACCAGAGGCGAAACTGACACATCTCAATCGCCCACAGTCATTAGGAAACCAAACAGTTTAGCAAGCACATGATAGAGTGATTCAACAAGCAAACAATTCAGTAAGTACATGCGAAAGCAAGTAGCAGTCCCAAACGCACCAAAATTGTGCCCCCTTGAAGCACCAATGTCCAACTGTCCCACCAAACACCCAGCCAGACTGTATGCATTGCCGTGCGCGCATGCAAAAAGGGGCACGGCCATGTACTGTACAATGTGCTGAGCCCACCATGGCTGGAAATGGAGCAAAAACATACTCTCCCTGCCATGAAGAGGCCCTTGAAAATCAAAAATAGTCAAAAGATGTCCAAAACACTTGGCAGAGCTTTTTCTTCACCCCTTCCCCGCTGTCAAGCTCGCTGGACAGGAAGGCGAAAGGGGTCGCCTCTATCTTCCAGCATCTCCAAGATTCACAAGCGAATCATCGCCTAGTTGCGCACTGAAAGTTTAGCAAGCACTAAGCAGCACCCTCTAAGATACACATCAAGAATGGCCCTTACAGTGCCCCTTGGAATGCCAAGAAGCGGCCAAACAATGCACAAAAATGCCCTGAAGTGCCCCTCAAACACTGAAAAAGAACGGGAAAATTGTGCAGATGCGTCACCCACAAGCCGCAAGCCACCGTCCAATCGCGCCCACCTGCCGCCCGCCATGCTCGCTGGGCAGGAAGGGTGAAAAGACGCTGTCCTCGATGGTGAGGGAATTGAAGGGTGCGGACGCCTGGGTGTCCACGGACACGAACGAAACGATCTCCTCCGACTGGGGCGTCACAGGGAACGAAAAGCTTGCACCACCAGTCCTGCAGAAAACGCAGAAAGCTTGGCAAAACAAGGTCTGCCAAAGAATTCGATGCCAGCCCTGTGCTGTGTCTTGATTCCCCTTCCCTGCGTGCTGAAATTTCATCGCCAGCAGAATATATAGTATAAAATAGGGTCTGCTTGAGAATACACTTACAGCGAAAGCCAGGGTAACAACGTACCTAACTAAGTACTACCAGTAGTGAACTGCCACCAGCTCGTCAAGTTAGCCATTCTTGTCAGATAAGAATGCTTGATAGGCAAGTCCGCCAACAAGGAATGAGCAAGGTAGTGCCCTTCCATTCTCTTGAAGGGAGCTCTCAAGCCTGGAGGCCATGGCGCCTTGGCCCTGCTGCACCATGAGCTCTTCGACCACAATGTACACAGTGCTGCATGCCCAGAAGATATGTGGGTGGTAGTAGTTCGCAGACATTATCACTCAGCTGCTGGGACCAGTGCAATGCAGTTCAATGAAGGGTTAGGGCTGTTCCCAAGGGATGTTGACTTGGTCTTTATGACAATGATGTTATTGCCGTAGAGAACAGGGGATAATTCCCCACCCCCCCCGCCCTGATCCAGAGTATCTGCATTGTCCCCCATTCTCTGCAGTACTTTTGAGACCATCTCCAAGCTGAATGTCCCATTCTTGACTGTCAATCAAGTTGGGGCAGAAGATGCACGAATAAGCCGAAACAAAACATATGCATTTTCTCACAACTTCGATCAAGCATGTGGTGAACAAATCTGCCATTTCTTAATTGGATTCATTGTTGAATTGATCGAAAGGTCACCGGTCAGGTGCTTCCTTCCAATCAATAAATCTCTTTATTCAAAATAGCTACACATTACCCTGGACATGCCTACCTGCCACCCTCCGTGCTCTTGCCGCCTCCAGGCATGGGTCCATCGAAATCTTCGAGTCTCATGAATGGCGATGTCGACTTCTTGGAAGTGTCAATGACTAATTGTTTCTTCCCCACAACCTCCTGGGCAGCCGCATCAGTCACCTCCTGGGACTGCACGACAAAGTTATTATTGTCAATGGCTTTGATCCATTGCTTGTAGTACTTCAGTAGATAGATGCCTAGCAGATGGAATAGGGTTCTAATATATTGAAAAGTTTTCTAATACATGGAATCCACAGAACTACCTAAACATATAGACTAAAGCAGCAGCTTTCCAACTAGTGTAACGCAATTGATGGAGGTGGGCACAAACAACATAGTTTTATGTGCAAACATTCTGCTCAGGCCGAAACATCAGCAAAACATGAATGGCATGTCTGCATTGTAGCTTTGCAAGCTCAAAAACGCAGGCATTTTGTTCCCATTTCGAAAATCCAGGTGCCATACACGTTCACATTTTGTTCCAGAAAGCCCCATGTGGTGTACGCATCTGCGCTTCCAATTTGAGTGGCATAAGCGCCCCTGGCTCCCAGCGACTTGTAGTGCAGTTAGCTGAGTGTGGCTGCCTACCACCGCCTAGAAATGTGCAAACCTAACAGCTGTGCAGGTCGTGAACGATGCCCACCCGCCGGACTCTTTTCGTCAAAGTTTTGGAAATGCAGCATTGCCTGACATTGGCGCTGATGTTTCAGTATCTGAAATGTTTTGTCCATGTCCACGTCCACATTTCCATTTGTTGAACTCAAGCATGCTGGGCACGTTCATGTTCCCGTTTCCAAAACCCCGACATATGACACACGTCCACGTTTCGGTTTTGGAGAACATAATGGTGTGCACACGTCTGCTTTTCCGTTTGGATGGCCTACGTCCGCCCCTGGTAATTGAAAAGATCGTTCGATTCGACCTGTGGTGGCAGCACTAAATAGGGATTACAATAAATTAACAGAAAACAAACCAGCGGACATTACAAAACAGAAAATAGTTATCACCACGCATACAAACAAAATCAGAACGAAACATGTTCTCAGATAAAATTGCCCCATAAAACCAAGTAAATTAGCTCTACAACTTGCGGCACCTCTTTGCCCAATAGTTTGTTCTGAACTGCCAAGCAACAGTACTGCAACTCAAGATGGATGGTAAGGAAAGAAAGCAAGCAGAAACTGGAAACACTACAGGTAAAAGACAACAAAAAGAGACAACAGAAGAGAAAACAGAAATCATGCAAACAAGAAGACAAAGAACGGAATCATTTCCCACTCTTCGCCCCCCACCAGATTCCCAACGTCGCTCAGGGAGTCCACCCTCTGGATGTCGCCACCTTCCTCTCCCCTTCCACCTCCTTCTTCCCTCCTTCCAACTTCCTCACCACCAACGTCCAAAGCCCCGCTAAACATCGTCCCCTGCAGGCAGCCTGTGCAGCTCGTGCTGGGACTTGTCGACTCGGACCAGTTGTGGTCAAAAAAGGCGCCGGACTGCAATCCCGAAAACATGTTGGCATTAGCCCTAACCAAGCAGAACTTTATACTGCCGATATAGTTCTCTCTTTCTGCAACTACTGATCCTCAGTTAGTGACGTTCAGTACTGTTTGATCCATTATTCGTTGGGTGCCCAATGCAAAAGGCCAGGAAGAGATGAGGGAATAAATCGCCAGTTTGCAGTCCCAAGAACGTGGCCGCATGGTCTGGGCACATGCCCTTCCATTCAGTTTGCAGCTGAAGAGTGTGGGCTGAGCATGATGGCACAATGATGACTAACTCATGCTGCAATCAAATGACATTTGAGCAGTTTCATTGATATTACTATTGCTGTAATCCATGAGGACATTTGGACAGGAAAACTACTCAATCAGCTACGGCAGTCCTGTTAGTAAGAGCTGACATGTTCATACACAGCACATTACAGATGGGTAATATGCCCATCGTATATTGCCTTGATGCCACTTTTTTGCCAATTTATGTGTGTTCACTGTACACAGGACAACAATCATGATTATTTGGATACCGATCCACAAGTGACTGCAAAACAAAGCATCTTCCCAACACCACATTTCAGTAACACAATTCGAAAGCGACTATCAGCAACTGTGTATAAGTAACTGTGAAGGCCACTCACTGGCGATGTGCTGGTGGCACGCGATGGACCATTGAGCTCACAGCTGGCAAAAGTGGCTTCATCATGAATGGGCTGCACACGGAAGCTGGGCCGATGGGGCCGGCAGGGTGAACTCGGCTCTGTCGAGCTCAACTTGCGCACTGCACCACAATTGCACACAGCATTGCACTAAGTGTAGAACTGTCCGCACTGCCGAGGCCATGTACTGCACTAAGCACTGAGAGGTTGACAGCGTCACAGCACAGCACTGTGCCAAGCACTGCATCGGTGACACTCCTCACAACCGTGCCATATGCTGCACAATAGTTAGTGCAGTATTTCATTTCACAGGTGCAGTGAGGTGCTGCGATAAGTACTGGACAGGTGTGCATTTGCCCGTGCTGCCAAAGCACTGCATCAGCAGCACATGGGCTGAAACGCTGCCCAACTGAGTGCAGCGTTGAGTGCATCAATTATAAATGCATAGTCACAGTAGCCTAGCACTCTCGCCCGACATGTTACCAAAGCAAGAGTACCTTTGTAGCTCAGCACCATAGTATATTCAACCCTTCCGCATTTCCAAATTTCAGCATTACGACTGCATTTTTTCGACAGGCCGTTATTCTGGGGGCTCCCAACCATGGTCACAGGCAAAATGGCGACTCCGCTCAGTTCGCATGGCCACAAATTCTGGTTTTCTGCCACAGCGACTCATGCATCTGGGGCCATTAAATGCCACGGGCAGGCCAGACACCCTCGCGTTGCAGCTGGGGCTGTTCCACATCTTCTTGGCACCACTACGTTTTATGATTTCCTTGTATAAATGGGCCAAATGTTGAGTTACGATATGGAAGGGTGCAACATAATTAGGTACTTGAGCATCACAGGAAACCATACTCACGCAGCGTAGGGATGCGCTTCCTCCTCCGCCGTTCTGAACTGAACAGGAAGGCACAAAATTGGCACTAATTAAATAATCCCAGTAACTAATTAACAACTGAATAAACGAACAACCAATAACCACAAGGCAAGCATTTGCAAGCACAAACGACCAATGCCTAAGATGATAAATTGAACAAGCAAAGATCGCTTTCCCCTCACGTGGAGATTCTTCGATGTGGTGCATCGCCCGCCGTTCCCCTCTCCCACTCAGTCTCCCTATTCCTGGCTGGCTTTCCAGCTGTGCCAGAATTAAGATTAGGAATGCCATGGGTTTGGGATGTGGCATGGCTCGTGGCACCCTCTTCACCCATGGAGGATGGTGCCCAGTGACAGGTGTGCTGGCCACCCTGCGATGAAACCACATTTCAAAAGTAATCAAAGCTACAACACAGAAACAGTGAATGACAACAAATCAAGTACTGCTTCTTCAGTTCAGCGCGACCTGCTCAAGGCCTCTTTGCCCATCCCAAGATGTACTGCCTGTGATGTTCTAAGTTGCTGTCGTTTAGAAGCTATGCGGTAAAGGGCAGCAAAATGCTCTGGAGATATCCAGCAAAAGCACTGCATAAAGCACTGCACAATACATAGGAGACCAGGTGCTCTGCCCCCACACAGTTGTCCTAACCTTATCTGTTCCAAGATTGTTCTGTTTGTTTCCTACACAATTATGCACAATAATGTACTCAGTTGTTGTACATGACTACCACGTAATTATCTGACGCATTAAATCTTTACAAATCTGATTTGCAGCAAGACAATTTCTTGCCTTCCTTTTCTTCTGCTTTGGATGCTAAGGGGAGCAACGAACGTTCTCAAGCCACCCCGTCTGCAAACTTGCGCTGCGATGCCTGCAAGACGCAGAAGCCGTGTTCCATTGCCCTCGAACAAATGCAACCAGCAAGGAATGCCCACAGGAGATAATATAGTGTGAGAAGGCAAAAATCTAGTTTCTGGTCAAAACTCTGCGCAACTTGATGTCTTTCACCCAAAATTCCCACTGCCCATGCCGCAACACATCACTGTACATTGTCATGCCACCTTGCAGGATCGCTTTCCAACCCTTCCTTTGGGCTCAGGTGGACAGTGCAGTGGCCCAGATAAAGGGGACTTGCCATGGCCACACGTGTGAATTCGCGCCACGTGACACAGGCAGGCCACTGGGTTCAGTGCGCTGAAAAAGCAACGTTCCATGGGCTCATGACGACGTGGCACAAAGGAGACATGAGCACTTATCAGGGCTGCCGGCTCTTTGTCAAGAATGCTGCAGCTCACTGCTCTGCTTCCGGTTTTTGAGCACATCGGCCGCCAAGGACCCTGCTGCAGTCTTCCGTAGACACCAAGGGACTCCGCGCAACAGGCCATAGCACCGACTTGATGCTTCCGATGCCAGGCGGTTCCTAACTAACCACAGCTTGGCCCGCTGAACGACCGAAACAATCCCCACGTCCAGCCCCTCCCCAGCCCCCCTTGGTCTCCGCCCGGCGCCGCCGAATGCCCCGCTCAAGCGACGACATTCCATGCCGGACATGGGCAGGGGACTCGCCGATGCAAAATGGCAACGGGAGCAATCTAGAGCGGGATCTCATCGCGATGCGAACGCCAAAGGAGCCAGACCGTCCGGCCCTCCCCGTCTCCACTCGCCTGCCGGCATCGCGGACTAGCGGACAGCCTTCGTGAGACCCCATGCGGATTCGAAAATGAATGAACGGGAATGTGGAATTCGACGGGTCGTCGACCCCTTGGCGGGCCAGACCAGCCCGTTTCCAGGCACAGGACGCCGCGCACAACTAAGGAAGCAATGCACTCGCGCTCCGGGGAACCCAAATGGCACCAGGGAGATCTCCGCGCGGCCCACGCGGCTTGTCGCTGACGCTGGGCAAGCCAACCGGGCCTGGCGGGCAAACGCGCCAACAGCGGCGCGCAACGGACGATCGGCGACCACACAAGGGCCCTTCATGTGTACCAGGCCTTCATCGCCGACAAGTACCCGACAGGTAGCTTTGCTCCGGTCGGGAAAATCCGAGTCAGTGCGCTGAGACGATGCCTTTGCCCACCTGCATGTTGCCGAACATGTGCGCCATGCCGCCGTGGGCCCCGTCCCCCACCAGCGGGAAAGTGTTTGACCTGAATCTGGGATCCAGCCCCTGGTGGACACCCTGCGGGGCCAGGTCGAGTCCGGAGGGATCCGGCCCGCGGCGCACGCCGCCCGGGCTGTGCCGGTTGTTGCCGGAGCGCGACATTTGGCGCTCAAACGCGCCTGGGTCCAAGAGCAGATGCCGATTGGGACAATCGCCGTGAGCTTAGGCGCCCTGAGCACGGCAGGTAGAGAGTGAGCAGAAATTAGGAAAAGAGAGAGAGGGACGCCCTGCGCTGGCCTGGGCTGGTTGGGAGCGGGCAAGGGCGATTTTGGCGCAGAGAGATTCGGACGAGGGCCCTGGGGAGGATCGGGGTGATGGCTTAGTCATTTAGGGGGGGTCGGGTGGCGTGGGGCGTCAGAAAGGGGCGAAGTCCGTTGAGGTGGCGCTGCGGTGGCTTTAACCGGGGCAAATGAGCGTCTTGATGACATCTTTCAGTGGTGTGCGGGTGCTGGCCGTCCCTTCCGTGATTCGGACCTTCCTCGGGCGAAAGTGGGAGCTGATGGCCCCCTCCCCGCCTCGACATGTGGGATT